CGGTTTACAGGTTCTTCTTCTTCCGATTCCATAATATCTTCGCTATCACTTCACTAACGCAATTTTTTGAATAATTGCTTTCTCGCTTTCTGAAGTTTAAGTCCAAAGCATGACAATCAAGCTTGTTTGACAACGTCGAAACCAGATTATAATGGGTACTTTTTTTTATGTTCTGGTTCTCACGAAAAGGGATATCCTGTAATGTTCAGAGAACATCGTGAGAATCAAGGGACATAAGGTAGAAATTGCGCAGGGGACTGCCAAGGGAGGAACAATTGTTGATATTTCAGAAGAGCATCGTCCATGGAAATATCTATGAAATAGAGCCAGATCGCCAAATTATCTACGGTGTTCCAGAGAAGTGAGTGAGTTTGTGAGCGAGGCATCACCCACGAGACGAATTGCCCTTTTTTGGACAGAATCCAACAGTTTCGGGGTATGTTTGGGTGCTGCACTCCAAATATGAAAACAGTATTCCAAGACAGGTCGGATCTGTGCCTTATAGATCATAAGCATAGATTTTTAACGTTTCTGAAACGATTTTAATCGCTATTTTCTAGCAAAAGGAATTCATTTTCCATGTTGATTATTTCGACAAATGTCAAATGTGACGGAAGTTCGTTTTCAATCGGCGTCTCGGAGTAGGAATGTAGAGGGTAGTTGGCTTCATTCTGACAGTTTATGAATGTGGTAGTTCTACGTTGCGTTCTCCAGAAACGTCTAATATACCATTTACCGTGAATCAGCCTGTATTTATATTGCAAATACATTTATAAAACATAATGATGATGCGATCTTTAAAATCTATTGGTAACTACACCATTGTAATCTTGGCACTTCAAATTTATTGAACTCTCAATCACTCATTGATTGATTTATGGGCCATTCACTTTCAATTCAAGTTTATATTCCAGATACGCAAGAAGTAATCATCTCGGCGATATAGTTAGGAAGTATTACAACAAAAATGATTGAATTTCGGTTTATGGTATATGAACTAGTTTAGTATATAGTTGATTTGTTATATTTCACAATATTGATTCTTTAGATGGATTCTCGAATTGTATGATACTTTCGAAGGTAATTAATTCCATCAAAAAATCATAAATTCCGACTCCAAAAATCCCCTGATACCAAATTTGAATAATATAATCGGATCATAATTACATTAAAATTAAAACTCGTACGCCATATTGGATCCGTCATCTTGAATTTTCCAATTTGGAAAAAATGATTATAATCTGTGAACCCGAAAATCCCCAGATACCGATTTTGAATAGAATCGGATCATAATTACAAAACTCGTCTTGCCATCTTGAATTTCCAATTGAAATAATAGCGTACGATCCAAATATGAACAAGAATTTTCATAAAAATCGGCCAAGCTTTTTGGGAGGAGTTTTGCAACAAACACCGTGACACGAGAGTTTTGTATATCATTAGATGATTTTCAATTTCGACTATTTGTATGTTTGTATTCGCTATAGAAAATAACACGTCGCTCCACCTGACGGCAACAACTTGAACCCATCTGAACGGTTCGTTTTGATGATATGACCAATAAGCACAAACAAAAAACAAATTAATGTGAACCAATGAAAACAAAGTAAGTAGGCCGTTTTGACAGCTTTCAAGAACTCCGATAGGTGGCGTAAGCTTATTTTTTATCACGAATAAAGGATAAGTACATTTTATACCCTTTAATAATGGACGACATGAATGATTAGAAATGTATTACTTGAAAGAATGAGAATAAAATTTCACATGTCTTGAATGATATGGAAAAGCTTTTTTGGAATTTTCTCCTCGTTTCTATAATTGAAAATATGAGTATTATTTCAATATACAGTGTGACCCATTTGAAAGCAGGGCACGTCAAAAAAATTCGTATTCATTCACTGATTTGGACGATTTTTTTCTCTGATTATTGTGGAACTTGAAAAACTGTTCCTTAGGACGAAACTTTTTTTTTTCTGCAATAATCAAAGCCGAATGCGTATATTTTCAGAGAAATCATATTAGCAATTTTTTTAAGACAAAATTGAGATCACCATTGAATTCAGCACCACATCAAATGGCTGTATACCAAGTTTTATAAAAAATATTCGATATTAATAATTTTGTAGCCCAATCAAAATTCACATTCTGGTAATAGAATAGCTGAATAATACTCATGGAAATTGGTGGATTGGTCGGGATAGTCCTTAATTCGATGGTCGCCAAGATCCTCATACCCGAACCACTGGATTATTTCGTTGGGGTATTGGGAAGCAAAAGTATACATGTACAGACCATAGTCAGTAGAAGAACCATCATCAGCGTAATCATTGAATTGAGTGCAGTATGACAAATCAAATGATCTGCCCCAAAATTTCACTCGGATATTGTGAAAACTGTGTTCGGGACTGGAAATATATTAAGATAAATTCTTACTCAATCAGGGCCAACAAATATAAGGAACAATCATCAAATAATTGTATTTACAGTATACCTTGTGTTCTTTGAAAATATTATACAGGTGAACTAAAGAGACAACTCTGAGTAAGATCGAATAGGAATAGGGACAATATGGAGAAAAGACATAAAGACAAATCTGAATTATCCTCACTGAAAATGAGTGAAATAATTTTGGAATCATAGGGAAATAAGAAAAATCGAAGAATACGCTTGCATTCTTCTGAACGGAGACAGTAATATTGCTTCCTCTATAGATAAAACATGGTATTCACTCTTGAAATCTAACTATGACAATGATGAATTCAATATCAATTAATAAAAACATCCTGTAACACACTTGTTTGTATGAACTTCTGCAACTGAAAGTGTTAATATAAATAATTCCGAAGACAATTTGCCACGAATAATTTTTCTATCTTCATGATCAGAAAAAAGGAAGATTTATTTCCTGATATGTTACCTTATATAGACAGCTAACTGCTCACACGACCACACATTTCCACAAAATGTGAACAATCATCTCTCTGAAATTCGTATAATGTCTAATTGTTGTGTAATTTCATTTGTTGCTATTTGTTTGTCGTTGGCGGTTTTTAGTTCAATCCAGAATAAATAATTAATTCGAGTATTCATCATTCGATTTTATTAATGTTCTCATCAAGCTTTATTTTGAAAGGTGATATAATTTTACTGGAATTAGAAATTAATCATGTTTAATTACTGCTATCTACTTCGCCAGATTTATTCAGGATTCTTTAATTGATATGGTTGATACAAAAAAAAAATTATCGATTCGTGATGATCACATTATTTTTATACAAAAAATAGGCATCTAAAAAGTGCAATTTGCAAATGAATGATTGTCAACTCAGGAACGACGACCTATATAAAAAAGAATATTTATCTTGTTTTTCTTTCGAACCATCGTTGTTTACCTACCTGTACGTTTTAAAATTCGCTGTTAATTTGAAGATTTACTGTCAGTTCTTCAGAAAGTTTAGGAAGCGAAATATCATTTTCGGATTTTTTTCATATTTGCAGGATTTTCGTCAACATGTGCAGGTTTTTCGTAGATCCATGTGATTTTATCAGGAATTCACTTACGTTGGTCAGCAACTTAACATAACTATTATAGCAGTCGGCCACGTTTATACCGGGTTTTGGTAGCTGGCTTATGACTATATTTTAACTAAATCCTCTTGACCAGTGTGGTATAAACTGTACACTTGGTAAAGTTACCAGCTTGGTTTGAACGGGAATTGAATCGGGAATTATTGGTTACCAAATGTTTACAGTAAAGTTGTCATACGTTCTCAGAAACACAAAGCATTGGCTGAGCCAGTTTTACACAACTAGAACTAGGATAATGAAAACCTCTCTTTTTAATACTTGAACGCTTTTTTATTGAATACGACTGTTCATTGTGTTTGTGTTCCATTCCTTGGAGCCATGATGGACAATCCTTTGCACTATTTCCGATATCTCTTTCAATCATAGCAAGTGAAGAAGATTTCCGGAAATATTCCTTCTGGCATAAATAGTCAGTGACATTATTTTGGGAATATCTATCATTATTCAGGTTCGGAATGATCTAACCGATTGAATAACCTTAATCTGTTTCTTGATGTCAAATGTCAACTGAACCTAATTGTGACCACAGACGATGATTTGTGAAAATTTTTGGCGAAACTGTGTGGGACCGAGACCATCGCCGTTCGATTTTTATGTTGAAGAGTATCTACTTGACTTGATTGATTCAATACAATTTATACTATTCCTTACTTTTTCAAAGTACAAGGGGTGTGTTTTAATCCTTCAAGCAGCAATACGGAATCCTTCGCACACTGTCACAGCAGCACCGGCAGAACCGAACTCGGCTTCTCTAAGCATACTCCGAAAACTTATCAGTATTTTCTCTATGAATCAACTTCTATAGAAATGACTATCTGACATTTTTTTATTTTTAAAAAAAGGGTAAATCCTTTTGAAACTTTCTACCGATCATTATGTGATTATATCTCGGATAATATCTCGGTTAATATTTATCCTAATCCATTTTTTTTAAATACAGGGCGTGTTCTAATCCTTTAAGCAATAATACAACTCTCTCACAGTAGCATCGACAGAAGCGAGTTCGGCGAATGTTGAACTAACATTATCTCTGCCCTTGTCTCTTAGGAACATTTTTACAACAACATTGGACAAGACGAACAGAAGTTCAGAAATCATTCAAGCACTTGGGACTGTTTTTATAAATCGAATCATAGCAAGTGAACAAGATTTCCAGAAATATTCTTTCCGGCATAAGTACTGACAGTGAAATTATATTGGGAATGTCTATCATTTTACAGGTTTGGAATCAACTTGCCGAATATATACCTAATCTTGAAAATTTTTCTAGTGTTGAATAAACATAATTCAGTCCACAAAAGATTTTTTGGGAAGATTGTTGACGAGACTTTTAGACTGCCGACGTTTCAATAATATGTTGAAGGATCTTCACTTGACTTGATTAACTCAATAAAATTTATCCTATTCCTTACTTTTTCAAAGTACAGGGTGTGTGTTTTAATCCTTCAAGCAACAATACGGAATCCTTCGCACACTGTCACAGCAGCACCGGCAGAACCGAACTCGGCTTCTCTAAGCATATTCCGACAACTTCTCCTCAATTTTTCTCTCGGCGATTTTCGTTCACTGATAACTCTCGATGACCCTGTGCAGCGAGATTATCACCCGGCATGACCACCGCACTGACTCTGCTTGCATTTCAGACTCGGTGCTTGGTACCCTGCGTGCACGTTCTTCGACGCTATGCGGTTTGGTTCCTCATGGTGGGGTTTTCCTCTTTACCACACTCTTGGTTATGGTTCGGTCACAGAATAGATCACGATGTTCGCGGTGTTTGAGTTGGGGAGCTGAGTTTCAAATGCCACTCATATGCGAGAACAAAACCCACTATTAACGAATTCAAGTTCCTGCCACTCCAAATCGGTCCTATTTTGTTAAAACTCTGGCTGCCTGGACCACAGATTTCTCTCTCTCTATTACAGGCTTTGTCAGTCATATTATGTGACCGACTTCCGACTTGTAAGAAACGGTGCTTGGCAGTGATTTTTAACCGACAGCAGAAGTTTCAGTTCGAGCCGTGTCATGCGAAAACGACCGACGATGCATTCAAATCTCCATTAGATCTGAATTCGCGGCGCTCAAATAAACGTTTGTGCCCCAAAAACGTTTATTGTATGAAATGTGAAAAAAGTCATGAACATATCTAAATCTAATTATTGTTGGAATGGGTTTTCACAAGACATTAAATGCACATAGAAGGCATCTCTTGGTAGCCTTCTCAATGCGTCCGCACTCTCTTCACCTCATTTTTAGCCCCCTTTCTTGTACATTTTGTTTCACGAGATATTTGTAACAAATCAAACAATTTTCTAGCTTTCGATTTTTTATCCTTTAGCTGTTATAGCAAGGGTTCCAACCCCTGTAAGTTTAACGACAATTAATAACTAATAGGAACATATCATGCACTTTTACTTATACAGGGTCGCTGATATGTATGGAAACAGGTGAATATCTCGGCAATCTGTTGTTAGATTTTTTCGAATTTATGTTCAGTGTGATTTCGAAACGTGGCGGATTCGAAAATGTTATAGCCTCTGTTGCCACTTTTTCAGTTATTCCGGATTTTTAGTAGCTTCCTTATTTTGAATGAAACACCCTGTACTTTATTGGATTTCCAGATTCTCCTTGAAGAGCTGATTCCATCGATCTATCACACTTGGGGTCGAGCGGGAATGATTACATAGGTATAGGGTGTTTAAAATCTAGGTTTTTCAACTTTAGGATTTTTTTATGTAGAAACTATCCATTATCGATCAAAACCGCTCCAATGTTCCTATCTTCACTTTTGATTTACTATCTACTGACTATTTAATTGGAACAGATACAGAGGGTGATCAGAATTCTGAATCTTGAACCACCCTGTATTTGTTTCAATTAAATGTCAGTAGATAGTAAATCAAAAGTGGAGATGGGAACATTGGAGCGGTTTTGATCGATAGTGAATAGTTTCGACACAAAAAATCCTAAAGTTGAAAAATCTAGATTTTAAACACCCTATACCTATGTATTCATTCCCGCTAGACCCCAAGTGTGATAGATCGATGGAATTAGCTCTTCAAGGAGAATCTGAAAATCCAATAAATTACAGGGTGTTCTATTCAAAATAAGGAAGTTTATGAAAAATCCGGTATAACTGAAACAGTGGCAACATTGGCTATAACATTTTCAAATCTGCCACGTTTTGAAATCACACAGTACATAAATTCAAAAAAATCCAACAACAGGTTACCGAGATATTCACCTGTTTCCATACATATCAGCGACCCTGTATACATTGAAAAAAATTGCCTTGTCTGGCCGCACCGGTCGATTTTAGCTGACATCCTTTTATGCCGTTTTCTACACCAGAACGACTTTACAATTTCTGAGCAGCAATATGCTGATCACTTCGATGCCCCTACTCTGACAACTTCGCGTGGCCTGACGCGTTTGAAAATGAAAATGCATCGGTTCAGCACGAGATCAAGCTGTCGGTCAAAAATGACTGATATGGCAGTCAGAGTGATAATAAACAATGATCAATCTGAAGTTGTAGTTTAAAATGGCAATTTCCCCGTTTTTTTGCTCAATTTCAAGAGATTTATCTCCACTTTTTCTCATTAAAATTCATGCCAAATTTGAAGCTTGTGCGAACTGGTCGAATTTCAAAGATATTTTTCTTGAGATAAGGGTTGGCAGAACGGTTTCAGATCATTTCAAGCTGGTAGAATGATATTCCAGAACTTCGTTTAACATAACAAACTCGGATTTACCACTTGTGCAGATTGGTCAAAATTTTGCCTCAATTTTTCTGTAGAAAAACCCTTGGCAGAACGATTTTCCCATACCATTCAGACTTGGTAGAATTTTTCGATGTTCCTTTTTTGGGTGATACAGATTTATGGGCCTGTGCAGATTGGTCAAAATTATTGGTCCGTTTTTACACAACGGTTTTTTTTAATAACAATACGGATATGTTCCGTTTATCAACCGAGGCTACCAATGCTTTCAGGGCTGATACTAACAATTTTGACAATGGTTATCCACTGGTGACTACGGTTGTGGTTTATTTCTGAAATGCCATTCATTTGTCAAATCATATTTTTGATCGTTTTTTAAAAATTCATGCTCTGCCAGTATTTGATTTTCAATTATGGCATCCAAACGTCCTTAATTCTTGTGCAAAGTAAGCACAAGCAAAGGATGTATTGTACTCAAAGGATGTAGTGTCCTGAAATAAATAAAAAAAACGTCTTGCTGAAAATATAGAGAATATTATTGAGTTGCCTCAGTTAACGAATTCATCGGAACTTAAGGCAATAATTTCAATTAGAAAATTGATTTTTGTTGTAATTTGTGAATCGAGGAATCAAGGCGAAAACTATAACATGTCAACGTCAACTCAAACTTACTGAACTTACCAGAGAAAATCCACGGTCGTTCTGGTGACAGCGAATCTTCCGCTTTTTCAGCAACCGTTCCGTAAATAACCTTTTTTTTTAGGAACCAACCGAACATTTTATATTTACGGAACGGGAAACTACTAACCGAAATAACCAAGTTTATTTACGGAACATACCCTACATATGGACCAGCCTTTAAGGTGGCAGAAAAGCATATTTCGATTATATTGTGGCGTATACTATAATATGAGTGGAGTTCAAAACTTGTGCAGATCGGTAGACTTTCCTGACATCAGCTCCCTTACTATTTGCTCTCTCTCTCTCGCGAATGCGGCAGTGATTATATCAGTCGGAACAGCGTGGTTTGCGTTGTTGTTATTGCGGTTTGCTCAACGACTCACCGCTCTTTAAATATTATATTATTGAATACCACAGGACATGAGTATGCCTTTCTGTAGTAAATAGTTGCGTTTTATTTGGTCCATTTTGGTAGCGGTGGTGGGAACAGAATGACGTTTACAAATAAAACGAGTAACATCATGATATCCTTTTTTCATGACCTTGCATGATAGAATTGACGTAATATATTATATAATTATAGATGATAGAGGATATATTTATATATTGGGGTTCCAAATCCTAATACTGGAGTTGAGAATCTAGAAAATGAATCAACGAATAGTTGGGGCAGTGATTGTGGTGATGGGAGAAACTTCTCTGAGATCGAGAGAACTCATTTTATCTGGGAATGAACATAATATGAAACCTGACTTGAAAGAATCATTAAATTGTGAACCTCACGACAGAAATGTCTTCTAAATGTCTTCTATCTTCAAAAAGTTTCGTTTTTCGTCAATCTAATTTGATTTTTTGACACCTGTCGACAGTCATTCCGCGTCATTCCTTGTAATGAAAGGGAATGAAAAGTAGCTACCGGAATCGGAGAAGTTGCAAATAAAACGATACATTGAAGTGATTCTGATGGCGGAATCGGACAAATAAAACACAACTTATGGTATAACCCATATTTAGTCCTACGAGTAACGGAGAGATTGTGCCAGATGATAGCTCTTCAACTCAAGGGATTAAAACTTTGCGGCACGCCATTTCATCATTATTTCTAGTAGTTGCACAGAAAACTTCATTGCAAAAATTCTTAAATCTTTTCAATTATCTTGTTTGATATTATTATTTACTATGTTTTGAGTGATACAGTTTCAGAAATCTCCATTTCCAGAATGACAAAATTGGGTGGTTCAAGTTTCGAACCACTGTGCACTAACTGGAATGACTTTTTGTGAATATTCTGATTCTGGATCATTGGGTATTGGTTCAATTCCATTTGAGTCTCGAAGAATTTCAACAAGTGTTATGCCAACCAGTTTGAAATCTCTAGATCCTGGGCTATCGTTTCTGTAACAATTTTGATAATTTGGGGAATGTCTCCTTGTTGCACAGTAGTCTAATCATCATTGAACGATAGGTACGGGTACGAATGCATCATAATCGAGAACTACAAATATTGAAGACCTTTAGTTTTCTAAACATGTTCGTCGTAAATATTCTTCGAGATTTTCATAATTGAATATTGGAGTTATTTTGCCACTCCATCATTTAAGGTACTTCACTTTGAGATACCATCGACTTCTATGATAAATTATTCAATATCACATTATTTCTGTTTCATTATGCTTTCATAAAAAATGGTTAGCAAACATTGCGTTTTCGCCAGTCACTTAATAACTCACTTATCATGAATAGTTGGTATTGTTCTATTTGCCACGTTAGATTTATGTAGACCAAAAAGGAATAGATTTTAATGGTAAATGGCATCCGCCCACTATTTTGTCATGATTTTCCTATATCATAAATCTGAAGTCGAGCAAGGTCAGAGAAGCGAAGGTCAGATGTTGGTTCGTTATTTTTTATTGAATCGTGAACGATAATCGTGCAATCTTTGTTCAGAATACGAAATCAAAAAAAATAGTGGTGATATTCAGAATCCAATATACCGGTTGTCTAAGAAACGAAATTGAACTCATCACGAAAATAATCGAACATTCTAAATAGGCCACGTTTATACTGAATGGATATTTGGTATGCTTACCAAGGTGATCTGACCAAACTGAGACCAAATGTCACAGTTAAAGCATTTTTACACCATTTATCTTTATATTTATAGGAAAGTTACCGTTGGTGTTCCACAAGGAACAGTTTCGGGTCCAGTGTTATTCCCAGTTTACATAAACAGTATCAGCGAAATTAACGATTTCAAGGGACAGCTTATATCCTATGCAGATGACTCAGCTATCATCTTATCAGGAGACTCTTGGGTAAATGTGTATACGAACGCCGAAAAAGCATTGAAAGATATACAGTTATGGCTGAACAATAACTTATTGAGTTTGAATAATAAAAAAACAAAATTTATAACATTCACTTCACAACAAGGTGATCAGCCAAAA